GATATCACCAATAGGCGACAAAGACACAACATCCCCACCAGAGTTAGTGATATTTCTTTGTAACGGTGAAATTGGTGAGAGTAAAAAACAATTTTATTTAGCCCCCCGTTTGGTCGTTATTTATTATTTTATTTTTTTTGTAAGAATAATGAAGTTTTGGAGAATGTATGATTAAAAAATAAAAAAAAAGGTTTTGAATTTAGCATATAATATTTTATTGTGTGAATGTGTGGTCAAAAATGAGTATGTATAATTTTTTTTTTTAATAGAAGACAAACAGGGGCTTATTATATCCTTTGTAATGAATTAAACGTCTCAATACACGCCCCTTTCATAAAAGTGATTATTTGAAATCCCCTTTTTCTCATACTCATTTAAAGTTATATTCTCATAAAATCATTTTTCACGTTTTTTCATAACTTTTCTATACTTTTTAAACACATTGTTTTTTTAAACAATACTTCTCAAATAATCACTTTCACATAAGCACAAAACAATACTAAATTCATAATAAAACTTCCGTTTGCATTCAATACTAAATTCGTAATAAAAACTTCCGTTTGCATTCAAATCAGAATTTGTTTTACATTAAAAATATTATACGTCCACAATTTTTGTGAATAGATATCGATAAGACTTCATCAAGAATTTGTCTACTCTACTAGTAGTATGTTAAACTCAACTTATTTAAATATTTAAACATTTAAGAAAATAATTAATACATTTATTCGCTCAAATTTTAATCTCCAAAATTGTCTACCATGCACTTTTTTCCTTTTGACTTGCCATGTATCACTTCTTTATAGTTCTTACCCCACTGGTTCTTTTATTGTGGAATGCATTAAGCGGACTGCACTTGAAGTATTTCCAGTTGGGAATGCATTAAGTGGGTGAATCATACGATGACGTATGATATCATTAAAATCTTGGAAAAAGATAAATGGCCATGGCCCCTGACCATGTAGCATTGCTCTAATTTCTTAGTACAATTTCATATAATTATCAAACGAGGAAAAAGAAAAAGATTGACGTTATTCAACCAAAAACGCTCACGTTTCATCCACATTCTTGAAAAATGTATTTTTCTTTTACTTATTTTTAACTAAACATTCATCAATAAAATAATAGTACACGTAAATTCAAAACTTTTTCTTATTTTTTAACCATAAATTTTACATCATATCACTTGAAAAAATGCATCTTTTCTCCAAAATGTGTATCAAACACAGGAAGAAAAAAAAGGACGATAACTTATGTTCGGTAGAAGTTTTTTTTAGAATGAATTTTGTAAAAGTGATTTTTAAAAAAAATGGGTGATTAAAAATTAGTTGGCTTGGTTGTATTAAAATATGAAGAATCTAGGCTCTGTTTAGCAAAAGAATTTTGTTAGTGGTATATCAAAAGATGTACTTAAAGGGTTACACGCCCCCCTCATTTCGGGGTGAAACCCACTTGTATAAGATATTTTTTTATTTAAGTGGGTTCAACCCCCACGTGAAGGGGGCGTAATCCCTTAAATACCATTAGCAAAATGCCAAAGACCAAATGAAGAGACTATGTATCCTTTTATTGATTGAATGTGTGGTTAAAATCACTTCGTTAAAAGGTAAGTTTTAAAAAATGAAGACGCCACATAGAAAATTCTCGAGGAATACTACATTTAGACAGAAAATTATTTAATGATTTGCACGACATACTATATAAATTTAAAGTTTAGGTAAAGTTGTTCAAGGCAAGACCCACAAATATTCTAATCTCCTAGAGCATCTCCAAGAGATATTTTATTTATAGAGAATATTTTTAAATTTAGGGAGACAAAATTTTTATATACTTCAATGATGTTCTCTATTTTAGTTCTTCATTTTGTTAAGAAATATTTATTGATTTCTCCTCGTATTTTATCTAACATAATTTTTTATATTTCAATGGCAAATCAAGCAATGGTTTGAATAGTAATTTTTAAGAAAATGTATGGTTAAAAAATGGGAACAAATTTTGCTTTCATGTATATAATATTTTATTGTGAAAATGTGCAGTTGAAAATGAATTCGTAGAAAAAAGAATTTGAAAATAATAATTGTTAGGGATTAAATTTGGTTTTAATAGTTTAAGAAGTAGAGTATTGAAACTTACGACTTATTAAAGGCATTCATTGTCATTAAGAATAGAGAATTAACTTGGTTCTCTCAAACTTATTCTATCTTTAAAAAATTATAATTAAGAGTCTTTTGGAGTTTATTTTTAATCATTAGAACATCTGCAAAAAATTCTCTAAATACAAAATATTTCTCATTTTAAAGAGTTAAATGCTTAAAAATAATCTCCAAGAAACTCTATATTTTATTTAATAAATGCATAATAAGAATATAATATAATACACCTAAGAATTTGACATCGAACTTTTTAAAAATAATTAGCTTTTACATCTAATTATTTCTTGCCATCAATACATACGTCAAATCAGATGTCAATATTTTCTGACAAAGTAGTTTAATTCTAATAGAGCGTATCAACATTTAGTTTTAGCCTAAGAGAACTTGATTTAAGTCTTCATCTTTTCGTCTTGTCCAAAAACTCCACAACACCGTCAGTTTCTTAGCAGAGTAGATCCACTTAATATATGTGCTAGTAGTCATTATTTTGAAGCATGGAGTGGTTACCGAAGGTAGAATGCTTCACCAATCGCGTTAAACTCGACAAATCATATTGATCTTTGCTTGACAGATCTGAGGGCTACATAAAGTTTGACAAATACGCAGGGCTTGATTACATTATCATTCATGTTATCATATGAGATGACGTTGTACTATCAAAAGTGAGGCACGCGAGTCATAATTTTCTGGTCACAAGATATTGTGAGCCATGTGACAGGATGTTGTGAGCTACGAGTCACTCACTTTTTGGACAATGTTTACGTGGTTTCCACATAAATTTGAGGTGTAGCAATTTTAAAATTAGAGATCCAACAAAGAAAAATAAAAAAATATCGACAGATAAATCTTTCCCAGATTATATAGTTACAAGATTTTTGAAGGCGTAGGCCAAGAGTTAGGGTTGAATATCCCTTTGAACGTGTCATACATGGATTGAGTTGACTAAAAAGATGAGTAAGCTAACTCCTTCCACGTAGATGTATTGGATTCGCCCACTTTTCAATTGCCCATAAAATTTGGTTGCTGCTTAACTTCATGTATCTCTTAGGATTTGTTTGGGACAATTTCTTATAAATTATTTTTTCAATCTCAAATCCTACCAATATATAATGTTTCTCTACATTTAACCAACCAATTTATAAAAAATTCACTTAAAAAATATATCCCAAAAACAGCCTAAACGTATAGTTGGTTCTATACTATTAAATTTTACTCAAAAAATTTCATAATTATCTACTACTAACACATAGGTGTTGATATGATCGATGATCGTATGCTATTGTTAACGAATGTTGCCCTGTGTTAACAATGCAATGCTTACTGTATTTGTTATATAAAGAGTCTGACAAAATTTATGAAATTTTTATAGATGGTCAAACTTTGCCCATATTTGATCCGGACTAAAATTTGATTTTAATTCAAGTCAAAGTCAAATAATCAATATTAACCACATCTTTCATGAGTCTCACAACTTTTCAACCACACATTTCAAAAACTTTTTTTACAATCTGTTAAAAATATAATTTTAATCCCCACCAAACACTCTTAAAGGGGCAGATATACTAATAGATTACATATTTCAGTATATTTTTATTCGCGCATTTCAATGGATATATAAGTACTATACATTTATCCAATACTTATTTTTATTTATTTATAAATTATTTCCAAACGAGACAGATATACTAATAGATTACATATTTCAGCCAAAAAAATGCATTTTGAAATAATAATTTGATGAAGAACGCGTAGTTAAAAAAAAAAATTGAGTTTACGTGCAATATTATTTTATTTAAAAATGTATCGTTTGAAATAAGAAAGAGAAAAAATATATTTTAAAAATAATGGATACCAAACAATGGCAAAATAAATGTAATTCGACAAAAGCCTCCTATAAGTCAATAAAAATCAGGTATTAGAGAAATTATTTTATCCCAAAGTAATCACTTAGGCCCTGTTCTCTTTGTCGTTTTCCAGTTCTGTTTTTAATTTCTTAAAACAACGAAAACGCGTTCTCTATTTTATTTTCAAAAACGAGTTTTTCAAAATGAAAAAAAAAAAAAAAAACAACACAAAACAAAAAATGAGGAAAACGTCGTTTTGGGAAATTCCATACAAAACAAGGCAAATTTCCAAAACACGCGAAACGGTCTATCCCTCTCTCCCAACTCTCTCCCTCACAGAAAACCCTCGCCACTCTCTCCCTCTCCCTGCAAATCGATATCCTCTCACACCCACCACCCAAAAACAAAATCAGTGCTTACGGCCAAATCGAACGATTCTAGACGGATCTTCAAATCAAGGGTTTTTTTGTTCTTATTTAGCCGGATCGAAGGCTTCACGACGGGGAGTTTGAATCTAGGTTTCGCGTCTTCAAAACCAGGTTTTGATTCCTTTGCTTGTGATAATAGTTGGTTATTTGATTG